GGGATGGAAGCTAGCCTATGCCTGGAGCTGACTACAGTTCATCACAACTAATGCCTCACGACTTACAAAGAATTTGCGTTCTAATCTATTACATAACATTTCACTGTCATAAAACCTTCATTGAGGTTTGTGAGAGTCTGAAATTTTTATTTAGATTGACAGTTTATATAGTTCAACACTCACTTCAAGTTGTTTAGGTAAGTGATTTGATTTAGGACAGGGAGATATGTTTTTCTGCATATAGTAGTGAAAGGAACTACTACCGACTGCAGTTGAGGTATCCTGTTTTCTCAAATCTTTACAAATACCAAAAGAAAACATAGATGACAAGGAATGTACAGGTAATAATAAGAATATAGGTAGATTTTTTTGTACTAGATTGAAGAATGGTTCCGAAGCCAAGGTGTTCTATTTTTCACACTCTTGGATAGGACTCAGAGTTGAGGTGTGTAGTGGTATAGGCAGGGTTCCCAAGTTGGAAGAATCCATGTTGGGCAAATCTATTTAAATGAGTTTTCTTAACATGTTGTGGATGGTGATACCAATTGGCACTTACTTCCGGGAGACAATTGATATTACAGTAGTAAAAACATTCAAATACTGTGAATTTGCAGGAGATTGGATAACTTCCGAGACTTGCTCGCTTGTGGGAGTGCGGGAGGCGATTCTGATTTCCGGGAGACTCCCTCAAATTGCGGAAGACTTGGGACACCTGTGTAGGAATGTACTAGGCTGACATTTCAGTCAATATGACAGGTGCCCGCAACGATTAAAGCCCGGCTTACAAGAGTTAAACATGGTGGCGCACCAGGCTTGAGATAAGCCACCTTGTTCAGACTGGCAGGTGGATATACCCGGTGAATTGAGCCGGGTTGATACACCGAGTCTGAACTAGGCCCTAGAGAGCTGAATAGCTCAGTTGGCTAAACTGGTGATAGGCCACTCTGTGTGTGGATATCCTTTGGGGAACCCAGGTCCTATTCCATCCACTGGTTTCTTTGTGTTTTAGTTGGACGACAAGTACATACATTAAAAAGGCCCACCATCTTTCAGAAAAGACGTTAAAGCTGTTGGTCCTGTATACGAATGGCCCATGTGCATGTTAGAAAACACAGTGCACTCTTCGGAAGGAGTAGGGTATTGTCCCTTGGTACTGTATACTGTCCATCACCACCAGAAGGATCCCACAGGAAATAAATCTTAAGACTTTCGTGGGTTATACTTGGTGTTCACATTAAATAGGCCTATATCCAATCCAATCTAATCTTAAAGAATCAGCACTACCAGTCAATGATTTTTATGCAACGAGCATCTCGATGGTAAAAGTAAATCCTTTGCAAAGCCACCAAGGTTCATTGGGCTGGAACCTGATGCTTGATGGTGAAAGTGTGACACTTGCCCTGGGTGGGATGCTACCAGCTCTACGCAGGTTACTCCCAGCAATTTGCTGTTACCCATTGATATAGCTGGGTAGACTGAAGCAATGTAGATAAAGTACCTTTGCTCAATGTGAGCAAAGTGAAGTGAAATGCACAGCGATGAATGAAACCCCAACCATTTTCACTGTACCAAATTGCTTCCACATTTTTATCATGGATGCTTTTATTTTTTTAAAGATAAGATAAGATAAAACTTTCATTGTCAACCTTACACTTGAAATTTGTTTTCTCTCTGACAATATAAAACACCTAAAATTAAAAGGTTCTCGAATGTAATCTCGAAAGCTCCGATGAGGGCACTATAATACAGGCATAGAGTAAATTGGCCCATACAAAAGAGATCTATTAATCGATCAATTGATCAGCGTTTAACACCTTGGGTATGCACCTTACAGTCGAGGCTGTTTGTAGACACTAATAAAACATATGCTTAAATATTATATTCATAATAGAGAGTTTACATGAATAGTAGATGATGATGTGGTTAAACTGACCGCCCCATCCATACGATTCAAATCAAATTCAAAATTCACTTTATTGCAATTTGACAAGATATAAAAATCTACACCAAATTGAAGTAGAACAATAATTGTTGTAAATAAAGATACACAGATAAAAAGCTCTACAATTACATAAAAAAGTTAATGTGTGGATGTGGTAAAATCAGTAATGTACAGTCCATGCTGAAACCCCTGATTTGCGTTGAGTGTATGGAACACACTGGGGTGCAACTCTAAAAAGGGCCATAAACGTTTGTTGGAAATCACCTCTAGTTTATGTGTATAAAATTTTCTGCATGTCCGCCATTCAAAAATAGCACCGGATCAATCAGCCAGTTGTTTTTAGAGCTTTCCATCATAGCTAATAATAAATATAATTGGACGCTAATAATAATAATAAAGATACTTGGCCCTAACAGCCGCCCATATCAAAAATATCTATTAGCAAAAAGGATCTATTACCAACCAATTAGCAAGGTACTCCTAGAGCTCCTCATCGGAGCTAAAAACACAGTATGATATAAAAGACATTTACATGAATTTTAAAATCAATATTAAAATTAGTAAACAACAATTAGATTTGGCCATTACTTAAAATAACTGTAAAACTGTGTGATAGGTGATAAAAATAAGTTTTTAATATTACAGACTGAGAATTGGTGTTAAAGTGTGTTAAAATAGAGAAAGGGCCTAAGAAGTAACATTGAATTATTAAATTCTTCAAAAAAGTAGTATAGTAGCCATATTAGTCAGTGTACATACAAATTTAAAAATTAGTACTGTAGGTAGCACTTTTTGGACTAATGATGAATTTTATTTCACAAACTTTTTTGTAATAAAACTCATCGTTGGTCAAAAAAAGTGCTACCTACTAATTTTTTCATTTATTAAATGCTTGACAACGTTCTCCAGTTTATTTGCAAACTGCTTGTCTGCTGTTAGCTTATAATAAAATCCTGAATCTGGTATAAAGGCGTTTCTATATCTGGAGTGATGAAGTACACACAGCTTAAAACCTGATCTACTAATGGTATAATTGTTAAGTAGAGGATGTGTATTATTGATATTACTGTATTCTTAATTTATGAGCATAATCCTTTCAGATTTCAAAAGGTTTTAATTGAATTATACATTCATTATTAAATGATTTCTTGGATACTATGCATGTAGTTTCAGTTGATGCCTGTGGAATTAATTTAGCAGACATTGAAATGTCGAAGTCAAGTGATTGCGATTCATCATGGACTTATCACATTAAACATTGACAGTTCAAATCCTATTATGGTTTCTACAACATTAATGACTTTTCCTGTTTTCTTAATTTAATTAATTTAGATTTTTGACTTAAACTTGTAACACAGATATATCATACATATTGCCTTTTTGTGAGAAAATGAAAATTTTGTTTAGCTATAGGCCTATATCTATAAATTGTTGGATTATTATTGATCAACAATGATGTTTCTAAAAAAAAATGGGTTGGAAGCTTACAATTTAATAATGAATTTAGACTTTCAACCAATGGTAAAAGTCAGTTTAATGTATTATCAATTTCTTAGGGATGAGCTCCAGGGAAATTAATGTTTTTGTGCAGCAATTTTCTCAAGCTCAGTGGCTCTACCAATGCTGATTAATTTGTTTCTTTATTTTGTTGCTACATACTATTTGCATTACAGTACATGCTCTGTAGTTTCCATGGTAGCAAGGAACATTAAATGATACATTATTATTGGTCTTGAAGATTGAGATATATTGCTAGAGCATGCCATAAAGGGGATGGGGTCGTTGCCAGGGTGCTGGGGTTATTGTTATTCAGAACCGTTGTATAGCAGCTGTCAATAACATTCCATGATTTATATCACACTTTTCAGTATTGCATTGTAAAAAAAAAAAAAAAGAATTTGTTCAATATACTAGAATGGAGACGTTTTGTTGCAAATTTATGTTTTTTTGCGCATTTCAGAAGTGTAAATCTGACACACTACCTTTAGTAGTCTTCAAAGGACAAGTACTTAGCACAAAGTTTATAGTTTATTTCTGAATTTCCTAATATTTAAAATAATATGTCAATCCTTATCTTTTTTATCTTTTTAGTTACATAATGTGTCGCTAAAACAATACGATAATTGGTGAGATAATGACAGCTACAGTATTGATAAATAAAAAAGAAATCAGTAATTTTATTTCTTTTGGGACAATATTCAATATATTGTAAGATAATGTTTCAGTACACCATAAAGGCAAGACTTTTTTTTATACCTTGTTTAAAGAACCTGTTGCCTGCCAATGATGAGGATTTTGAATAAAAATAAAAATTTATTTTTGGCCAATTAGCATATCCTCCGCCACGAAAAGATGGGAATTTCAGAAAAAAAAAAATTTTTCTTTATTTTTATTATGCCCACTTCTGCCTTGAAGTCTCCAAAAATAAGATATGTATATTTCTTCTTAATTATATAAATTTAAAGTAAAACCATCTCATTACTTCACTGTTTACATTCGCCAATAAAATTTTAATTTTTAAGAAAACATAATTTTATTTTAATTTTTTTCCGCCTTCCTCTGAAGGTCTTGGAAAAAAAATAAGTTTGCGAAACAAGGTATAAAAAGTCTTGCCTAAAGTTATACAAACTACCGGTATATGATGATAAAAAACTAATACATTATTCATAATGTAGTGACTAAAGCATTTAAAATTACCTGTGTTATAATAATAATTCAGTTAATTTATGTTCTGTTTAGATTGTTCTGTGCATTTTATAATTGTTTCAGAAGCTGTTGATGCATTATTGCTGCATATAAATCCTGGTATACCTTTTGCATGTTGCTGTTCCAGCGGAAAGGAAATTAATTTCATGCCTTACACATTGTGTACCCTGGTAAATTTGTCCATTGTGTTTTTTTTCTTTTTTTCAAATTGTCCTTCAGAACCGAATAAGTTCTAAAGGTGAAATGGTTCATTTAGGTGAGCTATAGGGTCCGTAGCTCTTTGAAATGCAAATGAGCAATAACAACAACATTCCAGGTTTATGCATTTTGAGATTTACCCATTTCTTTGTGCTTGATCACCCACTTTAAGTTATCGGTTATACTGCAGAAAGCGGTGCCAGATTTTAAAACTCATTACCCATAATTCAGTATGCTTGAGTAGCTATCAGCTTCACACATTGCAAGAAGTAGTATAACAATAATTTGGATGGTAGTGGTCTATATAGGATGTCCAGTTGAAAAATATTTCTTGTAGATAATTTTGTTGATTTTGTACAACGCTTCAGCAAGTGTGGAAGAATTCCAGTGTTTGAATAGGGCTCCCACTGCCAGTATGTTTTTGTTATTTCAACAATCAGTTATAATTTAATTGTAGCTTGACAATTAAAAAAATTTTCATTGCAACGTTGATTTGGCTTCAAAGAGCTTCACATTTTAATCTTCTGTTCCCAAGGTTCTCTAGTTAATCGTTATTGAAAGAAATGTTTATACGAAGTCAACAAATCGAATATGTCAGATTGGATATTATAACTTGATGGCGGTATTATTACGTGGACCTGAACTTTGAGATGTCGTCCTGTAACCTACACTCCTCTTCAGGTTGCATCAAATGCTAAAGTTTGATTTAATTGTCGCAGTTGAATGATTTAGCTTATAACCTTAAAAAGTTCTATAAAAAAAAATCAATATTTGATTTGCGAAGGCTACAATGCAAACTTGATATTTACTTAGAGTTCAAAATTGCACAAAAGAACTGAACAACATGTTTCCATAAACCAATCAGAGATGGACTTATGTAGGCCTTGTCAAGAACCGAAGGAATGCTGTCTTCTATAGCAAATTGACATATAAACCACAGATCCTGTAGGATCAATCTTTAAACTTAAGTTCTAGCGGCAAAGCTAGTAGGTGACATTGTTTGACAGGGCAATGCTAGTAGGTGACATTGTTTGACACTTCTAAAGGTACCAAATGTTGCTGTCATGGGATTAAGGCATCACATGTCAGCCAGCCTGTAAACCTGCACGTTTGCATCCCATACAACATTTGGAACATTAAAAAAGTGATTGTGGTTTTGTTAAGTAAGGATTAATGGACTGGCGACATCATAGGAGTACATTTTTGACAGGTGTGTTTATAACCTATATCACCTATGGAATAGTAGTCGAACTCCTGTCTGACCTTTCCAATAAATGTGGGATGTATTGTCATGTATACAGTACACCTCTACATGAACATTTTCCAAGAAGCATTTTTCAAATGTGCTGATTGTTAAGGAGTGAAAATTTCTTGTTTCCTACAGTATTGTACATTGGAGCCATAGTATCCTTTTTATGGTATTTATTATTTAAATATTCAATTAATAAGAATTTTGCTTTCCCAATACTTTACATGTACTGTATATAATTGGAATTCTTCAGTACTGTAGGGCCTAAATATTTTCTTTTCAAAATAAGAATGAATACTTTATATTTTCTAGTTGTGGTGCCAGGATTTGCGCAATGTCAATGTCTACTGGGTTGGGGGTGGGGGAGGGTGTGCAGGTCGAGGGGTACATTGTAGATGGGAGAATAGGGTGTCTATGGTAGGGTCAAGGCCCATTTTTCAAGAGTTAAGGTTTTTGAAAGGCCTATAAAATTGATTTTAAGGTGTCATAGTAAATTATACTCAGCAGGCATGAGCGAAAACCACTTTCCCGATGCCCGGGACAAGTGTTTTTTACAGTCGGACAACAAGAATTTTAGGGACCACTTGTCCGTGGACAAGCACTTTTAGAATAGGTTACTTAACCAAGTAATGCGTAATGATTTCACAGTATTATAAAAAGTCCGACTCTTGACAATACGCAGCATATTTTATTAACAAATTGTCGGCGCACAAAGAGATATCAAACATTAAAAAAAAAACGCCTAGGCCATGGTTATGCACCGCACTGCGTGAATCAACTTTGAGTTGCCAACACTCCCGCCATTTAATAAGGGACGGTTCAAAAGAAAAAGTGTAGGCCTAACTCAATATTTAATTTTTTATTTTCTGCAGTAAAGATTGAAAAAATTAATTCTTGATTGTTAAATGTTAACCAGATCTGTCGTAAAGACCCACAGCAGACATATATATTTTCACCTGTTAGCTGTCAGCCGTCTAGTAGGCCTGCTGCACACTGTTTGTTTACAATATAATTTCGCACTGGTCTAGTCTATAAATACCAGACATTTATAGACTTTGAGCACACAGCCATTAGTTGATGTAGTTAAGTTAGACGACATGACATGTCTGGACTTCAAGACTAGTAATTACTTTCGAGTACGAATATGAACAGCAGCCATTAGGCCGAATTCAATAAATTTTGTTTGCGCGTGTGGGGAAGGCAATCTAGACAGCCTAAGAAAGGGTAGTTAAATTGGGATTTAAAGTTGTTAAAGTAATTCAAAAATCATTCACTTCTATGATGGAGATAATGTGCATATAAAATCCAAATCTTGTAAAACTAGAGTTAAAAATTAAGGGGTTTAGGGCCAAATGAATCATTTTCTTGTGTCAAAAATTTGGCTGTCTCAAAGATTCTCAGGAAGGGATTCGTCCCCTCGGTCCACCCTCAGAGTTATGATAGGCCTACATAGTACAGTGCTTTTCTTTCGTTGAGAGTTAAGCAATTTTATCTATTTTGCAATAAATAAAATCAGGATGTGTGAGGCTGTAAAATATTCCCAGCGTAAAATATTGGGCCCAGAAATCCGTCGCCGCAATTCAAAAATATGAGCCGATTTCCACAGATACTTTTTGCAGAAAATTGAGGCCTTCATAGTAGGAACACAAGTATTTACGATTCTACGCATCAATTTTTCTAGGGGTTTTCCCGTGCAATTTGAATTTTGTTTGTATCCTCCACAAAAAGAAATATTTTTAAGTTAGTATTCATTGATTAAGATACTGCAAACTGGTACAAACATACGATATGGACACCCCCTCCCCCTTCTCTAAATAACGTCATAAAACACAGTCCTGTCAGCCTGTGGCTGAGAACTCATGTATCGTGGGAATCAACCATGCCTGAGAAATTTTTACTTGCAGTTGTTGTGACGACGGCTTTTAAACACGCAATAAGAAAACTATCAACAAACTCCTACATACATAGAATATTATTAATAATGTTTATTTTATTTGAATTTCTCCATATCATACATTATTGAAATTCTATCAAATTAAAAAAAGAAATATAATTGGATTAAAAAAAAGAACAAACATTTTTGCGTGATCAATGCCGTATGCATGTAGGCCTATTAATGTTGTAGGGCCATAGCAAAATACTAACTTTGTGTTATTTATGACTATTGCGCAATAATATTGGGACAAGTACAATTGTCTTCAGGACAAGTGCATTTTTGAAAGGTACTTGTCCGGGGACAAGTGAAAAACTATGAAATTCCCTCATGCCTGCTTAGAGTTTTTTTCCTGATGATAGACTAGCTCTTTCAAAAAACGACTCAGACAAATATGTAAAGTTCATGTACATTTGTACACTGACCTTGAACATTCTCTAATCAATTGATTACCATGTGCTAAGCATTGCCATTACCACAACAAGGACAAAACAGGCTCTTTTGTAATTGGCTTGACATGTACAGTATGGTTTTTAAAAATTCTTTATAATGTCCATTGAATACAAAGTAGACTAAGGTAGGGTTCATACTAATCCACTTTTTCTGAATGGTTGAACCAAAAGGTGTCTTTTGCTTGACATACAGTACGTACTTCCTCTCCCAATTATTTAACCTTTATATTGTCCTACTGTATTGGCTTGTACCAGTCTCCTAAATATTCAAAAGTAAACCACAGACATACTGACTGTAACCACCATTCAGTGACACAAGCCATTTCAGTAGGTGTCTTCTTGAAAGTTATTGCACACGATAGCGACTCAAGATTTAAGAAGTTTTCTGACATACAGTGTATAATGATTTTAAGTACTGTAGATAGCCGTAAATTACGCATTACTTTTTTGTTTGGTCTTGAAGTATTTTTCTTCACTTAATAGTCATAAGGACAGCTACAAAGGAGGCAGTTGAACAAATTTTCCATACTGATTTCAAGACCAGGAATATTGTATGAAGAATTTTACATGATTACATGTCATTTTTACATGATTTGTATTTGGATCTTATGGTTGCCAGGTAGCTCACTATTTTGACTGTTACGGTTTACCTGTGTGCCCTTTGTACTGTACTTTTGGTTATTTCATATTCTTTTGTGGGCTTAATTTGGATATATGAAAAGCCAATGTCCTCGATCTTTGATAAAAGAGTATTTAAAGATTAATATTCATGGAGGGATACATCCTAACTGGAAGTAATACTGGTCGTAGTCGGAAATAATACATATAACAAACTTCAATACAATAGCAAAGGAGTTCTCTATTATTAGCGACAAATTATCCCGTTATGGAGCAATACTTCACAAGTATGAAGATCTCTTAAGAGCCTTCTTAAATACATCTGACACTTGAACGTGAATAGCATATGTCCGTAAAACAGTTTAATGGCGGTCAGATTTGTATTTATTTCCATCAGAAGGTAATCCTGTTGGATTGGAACTCAACAAAAAACATATTGAATCAGGAAACAATTACAAGAAATAAGTTCATATAGTTCCTCATTGGAGCTACTCGATGTAGAACTGTGCGGTAGAGACATTACTTAGAGCAGCGATAAATTATGAATAAATTTCCAACAGTTACTGGTTACGAAAGCGACTCCAGTAACTCAAGTTCCGACACAGTAGTTGAGTGTGCGTCTGATCACACTGATGATTTCAACGCATCTGATCACAGTATCTCAGATGCATCTGATTATTGTGGCTTTGAAGAATCTGAAAACAAGTTTGTGTCCAAGCAGGATTTTATTCCTATTAAGGAAACAGCAATAGATACTGAAGAGTTAAAGAATAATCAGAGCTGTGATGATAATAATAATAAAGTAGTCGGATATTTGGACTTAACGATAACCGGTAGAATAAGTCTGACTTCCTTGGATTTAGATCTTGTTTCCAAATTTTTGGAATTTCTTCAAGATGGTCAGATAGAAGCGCGCATGTTTATGGATGATATTGGAGAATCGTCAACGGATACATTTGAAGTCGGTACTGGCAAACTTATGAGTAAACCTACAGCAGATTTGAAAAAGGTGGGATATTATATTATACATACAATAATACTGTGTATTATAATAATGCTCTTTTAATAAATCGATTTGATGAGTGTTTCAATGTAGCTTTGCTTCTGCTAATTTGTTGTAATAATTTTTGCCTATTTTTATTCCTGTTGTCAAGAATTTGTTGCTTACGGTAGTAGTTTTATGCCTTTCTTCCTTTTCTAGTATATTTTTATAATCAGGAATATATAACCTCTGTTATTTTAGTCTTTGTACAAAATTATTTGCATCACAATGCCTTCTTATATAATTCAAATGGTTTGTGTTATGTGTTACTAGTAGTAAATTACACTTTAGAATATATCTTTTTAATACAGTTTTCACAATAATCATAATATTATGATTGTTTTCCATGAAGGACATCTCAGGTCATGAATTACAGCCACCATATTACTTTACAGTAGACCTGAAAATATATCCTTTGTATAAAAAAAAAATTAAAAATTAAAAAGAACTGGTTTGCAAAATATGCTCTCATCAAATTTCAAAACAACTGTGTTACAACTTAATTTCAGATTCCAAAAATATATGGTTGTCCATAGGTGGTCATGGTTTATGATGTCATCTACGGAGTAGTACATCTTTTGGAAAATAGTGAAGTTTTTTGTTTCGTACTTTCCTGATGTTTTCTGTTGATGACTGTATTTATTATTAATTTGTGGTTTTCGTTGATTTGCTGAAATGAAAAAACAAAAAATATAATCATTACCCTTATACCCCCACCTTAACACCCCCAAAAAAGGAAGTTTGAAAGAAAAGTTTTAAATTATTTTTACTTTATATATATACTATATTGTGTGATGATTTTAAATGATGATAATGAAAATATTCCTACATTATCAGGGGTCCAAAGTCTACCTGAAGTTGCAGGAGTCGCCCTGAAATCAGGACGGCCTTCTGCAAGCAAGCATCTCCTGGAAAATAACCTACTCTATCTCCTGCAAATTTATAATATTTGCATGTTTTCACTGCTTTTTATTATCACTTGTCTCATGGAAGTCAGTGCCGATGGGTATCAACATGCACAGAAAAATAAAAATATTTAAGCTCATTAATCTCTGGGATTGACTTCTTCCAACTTGTTGATTATTGAACTAGCTGATCTTTTGTTTTTCACCATAGTAAGTTCAATATCAAATCTTCTTGTACCCTGGTGTTGAAAATCCTTTTGGAATTTGTCCTACTCTTGACAAATGTCGGCCAGTTTTCTCCTCCACAAATTGATTACAAACTTCATTTAGGCGAGACTTTTTTTTATTCCTTGTTTCGCATATTTTTGTTTTTATAAAGATCATTGGAGGAGGGCGGAATAAAATTTTGTTTTCTTATTTAGCAACTATTTTTGCCAAAAACATCCAGACGTAGGAGATTTCAAGGCAGTGGAGGACGTAATAAAAATAAAGAAAAACTTTTATTTTTTTTCTGAAATTTTGTGTTGTAGCTAAAAACTGCACCATGAAAAAATAATTTTTTGGTGTAGTGTGGACCGATGTGTAATTAATTAAGGTTTTTTTTTGACTATTTGTTATCAGCAAAGGTAACTTCTTTATTCCACCCTGGTCCTTTTCATTACTACTAGTGCCAATTTATAATTGTTTAGAAAAATCCAGAACAAGTAACAGTATCAAGCTTTGGACTTGCATCAGGGGCAGATCCAGTAGGGGGAATGGGGCCATGTGCCCCCTGTTTTGACACTCAATTTTTAAAATTTCAATGCATTTTAGTGTTATGTGTTACTTATCTATTCTGAAACTGTTGTTCCCCCTCCCCTTTCCCATTTGGAAAATGTAGATGTGCCCCTGTGCATGGTATTATTCATGGTGCCAATATCTAGTAAATTCCTCATCTACAGTAGATCGTTGCACCATTGTATTCTTTCCCCTCATTAATTTCAGGCCAATTAAATCAAAGGTTGTTTTAGGTCACATTGTCTTGATGACTTACATGTAGATGATACTACACCGAGTTTGTAACTTAATTACTCTTCCCACCAGTGTCAAGTTAAGACTTTTGTCACTATAGGCCCGTCAAGATAATAATTCATATGGGCTAAAACATTCACTGGCTGATATATATACCCCAGGGCAAAATAGCAAACATTCCATATCTGATGTTATCCTACCGGTAAGCCAGCTGATAGAGGTTTACGTGTCTGTGGGTCTGCGTAAATTAAGTGTCTGTGTTCATTCTATGTTGCTGGTTACGGAGTCTGTTGTGTGATAATATAAACTAATTGCATGATGGCATTGACTTTGTGCAATTTTATCAGGATAGTGAGGTAAGGTTTTGAGTTACATTACAAATTTAGATGTCAGTTATTTGTCATGGTTTTCTGCTTTTAAAGGCTGGTTCCTTGTTTGAATGTATACATTTAACCATGAGGTGCTATAAAATACCAATTTGAAGAATCTTATGTTGTAGTAACACATTTTTAATTAGATATTTAAATAGTTTCATATGGTTTGTTTAAAGCTGGCAGTAAGTTAACATCCATTGTGTTTGGTTTATTAACGATTAAAACAGTTATTTATTTTAAGATCCATCTTTTAATGATCATCATTTTCACCATATAAAATATATTGTGCAAGTATCTAGTAGTATTGAAATATTCTAAGTTACCATAGGTACGTCAATACTCTAGGGTCACAATGACCTTTCACTCGGAACGTAGTAATAAAGAATACAAAAAGGTATTCTGTGCTTACAGACTTAACAATGGTTTCTGGAATGCTGTGTGTTCTTTTGTCAGGATGAACTTCTAGGTCGAGATTTCTTATGACATACTAGTGTAGGCATCATGACCTCATTCCACATCCAATTAATGAAATCTATAGCTTAACATTTTGTTTTGTGACTGATAATCTTTTTTACAATTGACTAATTTTATACCATTCAAGAGTGGATGTTGCTCGTTGGCGTGGTAATGAATAACATTAAGATAATCAGGGATGAAAATAGATTTTTTTTCCCCATTTTGAATGATGCGATAATGCCAAATTGAGTTTTAATAAGTCTTAACTTACAAATCTTGGTAGATGTCAGATAGATAATAGATCAACAGATAAGTTCTTATAAAGTATTACAAAACATATTATAAAAATGCTTTTTAAAAAAACCTTTTGATTAGTTGATTGTTGATGACATGGGATTAAATTATTGGTTCCATTTTTTGAATGAAGTACATTGCACAGCTGATGTCAGTTGTCTTTTTATTTCATTTACCAATTTCACTGAGTCTATAAAGGATTCAATTTCAATTTATTCAAAACCTCTGAAATAGAGAGATAAAATGTATAATAAACATCCGACACATCATATGCAAATACAAAAAAAACACATCAAACTGCAAATAGAAATCAAACGATCAAATAAAAAATAAAAAATTCAATGAAAAAATAAGATATGTGTGAATAAGACTAAATGTGAAATAGTGACTTTACACTATCAGTTAATCCATCTTCATTGAAATTTGATTTCAAATTACATTTCTTTTTTTTTGTGATAACTGTTGAATAACATTTTAAATGCTGTAACAGTATATTACTCAGCTGTAAGAGGTAAAAGAATTTATGTTAGCTGTTACAAACATTTGTCATTTAGATTTTCTAAAAAAAATAACAAAGATCCTTATATAGTTGGTGAACTTTACAAAGTATAAAGTGAAATAATGAATGTTCCTCATTCAAAAAAAAAAAAGGATTAATACAGTAGATTTTTGTTAGTTTTATAGACTCATAATTCATCACACTAACTCATGTGATTCTAAGTCTACCACTTGTGCAATGACAGAATATTTCTTTATAGTGATTGATAGGCAATGAGACACCACATAAGTATTTAAATATGCTGGTTATCTTTTTATGTCATATTTTCTTCATCTCTGCAGAGAGTACTGTATTTGGGATATGTAGAAGGAGTGGGATACTACTGTACTATGCAGGTGTATGTTAGCAATGTTTGTACAATTTTAGTAAAAAGAAAACTTATATCGGGTAAGAGTGAGTCAAAGGAAGTTTTGTACGCTATTAATAAAGGATGAGAAATTCGGGTGACCCCTGAAACTAAAGATAACTTTTGAATACTCCAGTTATCCATCACACAGTGGACTTCTTTACTAGCAACCTAATTTGTCACTTAAACACAGCTAATAAAAATACATCTTTCCTTGTCGGTATATTTCTGATTGGTATATAAATTGTTGGAAAAATATGTACTTGATTCCATGCTTTTGTTCTCTCAACCACCATTTCCTATTTTGATAAATACCTCTAGGAACTGATATGAGCATTGGAATGGCATCATATGTTTTTGATATGTTTTCCATTATATCAGTTATACTTGTCATCGCCTTCTTAGTTAACTAATGACGCATCTAATTGCTTACAATATTACATGATAGCTCTAATTAATGCAATCTTCTGCTTTACAGATTTGCTCATCTGTCACTTCAATTGTTAATCTCTTAATGTACTATCAAGTTTTATGTGATATTTCAGTTGTATACTGTGAAACCTTGAATTGAAGCCCTGGGCTTCTTTTTTTCTTTTTTTTTTTTGAGAACTTTGGATGGGCTTCTTTTCGAGGTGTGCTTCTTTTCGAGATAAGATTCTTTTCAAGACTACTTTTTCAAGGTAAAGTGGGGTTGGGGGATTCTTTTCAAAATGAATGTTGTAAATTTTGTGAATTTGTACTATAAAACAATAAATAAGGACACTGTAACATCAATTCTGTATCATGGAATGTATTTAAGTTGCACTAAATTACCTGAACTACTGTATAAACCAAACTTGTATTTAATTTATTTTGTTTTCTGAAATTCATGTACAGTGTATTTACTGTACTGTCCCAAAAAGAAGCCTATGCTATCTTGAAGACTTCGTTTAGAGATGGATTTCTTTTCGAGGCTAGTTTCACAAACTAAAGAGTGGGAGGTTCAATTCGAGATGGGCTTGATCTTGAGATTAAGAGCACTG